CCGCGACAAGTCAGCGTGCGACCATACTAACAGGCCCCGCTCTTTCTTTTTGCCGTTGAATTTTTTATTCAGCGAGCCTCCCCCTCCGTTGGGATGAATTGCTTATTTTTTTTTAGTGGGGGAGAGAAAGTGTGGGAGGGGAGACCCCCCCCCCCCCCCCCCCCCCCCTCTCTCTCTTTCTCTCTCTCTCTGTGCTTGTGTTTACACTGGTCTCCTCGTTTGGTTGGTTTTTTTGTATAGGGGTTCGTCCTCACCTGCAGCACCCATCCTACCGGGCCCGGCGTCAAGCTGGATCTGTCCGCGAACGCCGAGATGTGGGACGTGAGAAAAAATGAATTGGTGCAGCCTGTGGATAGCGCTTGATCGGTCTGTGTGGCGTTTTTTTTTTTTAAGGTATACAGTGTAAAAAATAGCTTCGAAGTTGGCGAGGAGTACAGAGGTCGTCTCGGGAAGTCCTGTGTGGCCGCCGATAGAAGAGGCAAGACCTCGTGATACCACAGTAATGGTCGATGAGTAAAGGCCACAGTTTGATCGGCCTTGTACCAAGCACCCGACACTATTCGGAGTATGAGATCAGCTTCATTACTCCACCTGTGTCACGCGATTTCCATGGCCTTGTGCAGGGCGACCGGCCTTGGATGTGCGGCCTTATACGGGGACCACTACTATGCGCATCTGTAGTTTTTTTTTTTTATCTCTTTGAAGCTTCCAACGCCATCCTTGACTTGTTTTTCTTTCGGACCGTAAATATTGCTCGTTTTATTCCCCGCATACCCCCAACGGTACGAGCTGTTTCATGTTTTCCCCGGCTCCTTTGATGATTAGTTGCCACTCACCCACCATGGCATGGGCGTCATATTTGATGTTGACGGTGCGTGCGTGATGGCTTGGTTGAAATGGGCGACTTTGCCTCGTACGACAATTGACGGCTGGCGTTGCTCGTTTGTCTTGTTCTCTTGTGGTTGTCTGTCGTCGCGGCTACGTACACGGACGACATCCCTACGAAAGGCGTACTGCGCGCGATTGGACGACATTTCTACCCAAGACCTCTTGCGACAGGTGAGGGGCGAGGGGGAAACATTTTGGGGATTTTGTGGCACCTTTGAGTCAGTGTTGGTTTAGTGGTGGTGTGAAGATAGTGCAGAGTCGGGAGACGGAACACTTTTCCCGCAGCCCCGGTGCTCTGCTCCAGAGTTTCACTATTGGCGGTGCTCCACGTCACGTTCGAACGGTGTCGAGCTTTGGTCCACTCAACCGCTGGTGGCTTGGGGACGCGGTGAAATTATTTTTAGGACAGTCTTTCTCCATACTGTTCACGGAGTTTTCTTGAGTGCGACCCATGCATAATCTAAAACACCACCCCCGGGCAACCGACGACTCAAAACCACAGCCCATCCCAGGTTGGATGCTTCTGATCCGGTCTCTGCTTCTGCTGCTGCTGCCGCTGTGCTCCTCTCCCGCACCTGACGAATCCTTTTACTTTCGTGTTTGCTCAACCAGACGTCTGCAGAGGTGATGCGCAAGTACCGAGTGGAGCACCCCGACTACTTTCGCGAGGAGGTGGAGCGGCAGTTCAAGTGAAAGCCGAAGGCACGATGGCCGGAAATGCGCTTTACTCTACCTGGAAACCTCACGACAAGCAAAAGATTGTCTGAAGCGGCGTTATTACTGGGTACCACTGAGCTGCTCGCTCCGCTGAAGGACCTATCATGCGCACCCCCGACATCGCTGGCGTTGTGGGGCTGAGGAGGTGTCGGTTGGTTACCGAACCGATTTTTGTCTGTCCGCCTCTGCTGTAGGTAGATTGGTCGAGTGTACGCTCGCGCCGTGCACGGGACGGGTAGGTGTTATCCTGTGTCGGTCCATAATTTATGTCAATAATAGTCGATTATCTAGAAGCGTCAGAAACCCCCATTTGCATTTGTGGGGAATAACAACGAGTTGTTGGTTGCGCCTCTTGATTTGCACACTGCTCGCATCTGTGATCGTTCGCCGGAGCGTCGGGGGTTGGCAGCGCTGTGATGGGTTTTTCGCGGAGCAGTGGCTGTGTGAGCTGATCGTCTAGCGGGCACCGTTGGAGACGGGCCACGTGTGGCGACAATGCCAATACTGTACAGACAGCGAGGGAGGATGCCCTCGACAAATAATTTGTCCAGAGAAGCATGTCCAACACATGTCTTCCTCGCCCCATGAGAAGCAAATTGATATCGACGGCGCATGTTGTACTGGCTATGCGAGGCAAAAAGAACGCGAGAACATCCACACATGATGACCGAAAACAGGATTCTCGTGTAAGATTACCCTTGTGTCCTGGCTCATGTAGAAAATCTCAAGAGGACGACCCCTCTATCTCTGTGCATGCATGTTGTGGAAGGGCGAGACCTTTACGTGTGCCAAAAGGGACGCTGCCCACAACTCTTGTCTTCTCCCGTGTCCGTGTTTGACCTGCTGTCCACACATGCCATCAGGGACAATATGCCATCACCTCGCACTCTCCTCGTGCCTGCACTTATTTGTGTTTTTGGTGTCGTGCTTAAAAACTTCACAACTTTCTCTCGGGAAACCACCAAATCAACACCGCAGGAACAAGACAAACGCACACAGAGAGACCGATACCAGACCAGTCCAGGAGGCTTGAAAAAAAAGCTACCAGCATGCTACGTGACAACCAGCCCACTTGGGAGAAAACGACCTCACCGAAGCCCAGGAAATAAAGTAGGACGCTGGCTCGTAGCACGCCAGGTTCTTGGCCCCTGGATTCGTCACCCCCCGTCCCTGCTACACCCGCTCCCCCAACGGGGCGTGGTGGATATGCGACGCTTGACTCTTTCGTGCAAACTGGCAACGACGAAAGGATCGACGAACCTGAGTCACCCCGTAACACCGACACACCACCAACCAGAGAACAAGGGACAGCAGTCTAGGGCTCCCTCGTACTAAGGTTTATACTCCTCGGAACTTTCAAAACACCTACAGGTGTGGAGAGCAAGCCCCCCCCCCCCCCCCGCCGGCAAACAAAAAAAAACTAACTGTGAAAAGAGCTTGCTACTGTACACTACGTGGTCTATCTGGTCAGCCAGATACCATGTAAACCATGCGGCTGCCGCCGCCCTCGCCGTGGCAGACGCCTCCTTTCGTTCGCTGTCGGTCGTGCATGTGTGCACCTGCTGCGCGTGTCGAGTGCCGCCCTTCTTTCTTCGTCGAACACACGACAACGACCGGACGAAACAAGCTCCTGCGGAGAAAAACCTTCTCCAAAAGAGAGAAGAAAAGAAGGGCACGGTTGGTTCTAACCAAGCATTCGACCCCCACCCCACCCCACTCCATCACCCGTGTACTGTATGTACTGTACGCCGCGTTGCAGTGAAACACACACAAGTCTTGGTGCCGGATTCTGTCCTAACCTCGGGATCACTCTTTCCACACCCAACGGAGAACGGTCACAAACAGAGCCTCTCGCGTTTGCACCCCGCCGCACCCTTTCGTATGTGCTTATCGGGACGGTCTAGCGGCCTTTCTACGGCAAAGAAGGCCAGGAGTTCTACTTACCAAATGCCCAAAAACCTACGCACGCAGCGTTTTCTGGCGAGGTTCTCCCCGTTCCGTTCTTTTTCCTTTTCTGTTGTATCCTGTTCCGTTCCGTAACCTTCCATGACGTTTCCGTAACCTTCCATGCATTTCCGCAATCTACCATCACGTTCCGCAATCTTCCATGACGTTTCCGTAACCTGACATGACGTGCCATATTGTTCCTCAACGTTTAGTAGCGTTCCGTTCCGTTCCTTGCCGCTCCGTTCCGTTCCATGCCTCTCTGTTCTATCCTGCCCATCACTTCCCATGACAATCCCCAACGTTCCGTCACCTTCCATGACGCTCCATTGCTTTTCGTTTTGAAACGGTGAGAGGAAGAGATGACAAAACCAAAGCAAGCGAATCACTTGCCCGGCTCGACCGAGGCCCCGACTTGGGTGCCGAGCCGTGGGAGACAGGAAGAAAGAAGATTGGCTGCCCCAAACAAATCACTACTTGCCGGCGCGACTCTCGATAGTGTTGGGCTGCCGTGTGATGGTGAGGACCCGCTCCCACGTGCGGCCGTGCATGTTGAGGCATCTCGGCGAGTTTTCCACCAGCTCCGTGATGGGGATATACACCTGACGACGAAAAAAAAACAGGAAGGTGGTGAACATGTTGCTGCTGTCATCGGGAAGCGGGGACAAGAAAAAAAAAATGTTGTCCATCCACATACTCAGGCCGTATGCATATGTATAGATTAGCAAGAAAATTGCTTCATCATCGTGAGCGCGTGTGGTTGGGTGGGGTGAAGGTAGCGTCACGAAGCCAGTGCGGCGAGAGGCAGCAGTAAGCCATTGGAGTTTGCGTGTCCATCTCAAGGAGAGGATACGCACAACGGGAATCAACCCCATCACTACAACCAGAGACTGTCAAGCAAGAGCGGCCTTCCTGACGGTTACATCCTGGAAACACGCCTGCAATGACGCAGTAGAACTGCCATTCTTGCATGACAAAATACGAACCAGCCGGGTTAACAACAAACCGTGTCCACACACAAACAGACGGAAGTACGAAGCACCATTCCATCCACTTCTTCCACCATTGGAAAACCTACGTCCATTCCTGACCTCTACTGTACATTCCTGCCCGAAAGCCCCAGACAGAACATGTACCATTGCTATACACACGTACTCTCGCATGTGCAGTAGCGCAGCCGGCAGCAACAGTCGTGGATCTCGCGTGCGACGGAGCGCGATATCATCAGGCAGCCAAACCACTCCACTTTTACTTATTTCTTTCGTTCACTGACCGTCCTGTTGTTGACCACTCCCGCGCTGAAGGCGGTGTAACCCGCCATGGCTCCGTGCACCGCGTTCTGCGCCAGCTGCATGCAGTAGATCTGGTCGAAAGCCGTCGCCGCCACGGACCTGCAAGTCGGTGGGGAGGGAGGAGATGAAAGACCAGGGATGAGAGGTCAGTGAAGGGAAGAGAAGAGACGATGAGTCGTTTCACCTAGACGTGGTGGTATCCCGTTTGTCGAGAGAGAGCAAGTTCCAGACAACGCGGTGACACCATGTAGGTCTGACGAGGGGTGCAGGCGATTTCCGAGTCATTGAACCAAGCCAACAATGATACGACAAAAAAAAAATATTACATGATGATACAACTAAAGCTTCGTTCGCTTCCAAGACGAGAAAGTACTATTATTGCTTCTTTTCGACAAGACGAAGCAAAAACCAGCCGAAAGACACAGCACGTTTGACACGGCACAATTCTCGAGACCATCACAGCAGTTATCGTCGAGACCATCGCAGCAGTTATACTGTACCAACCCAACCACCGGAGGGACCGTGGTAAAGACACTATTTACTACTGTATTTACTCCATGGTCTGGTGGTTACGCCCACGATTTTCGCAAGTTTCCGCCACACTCCACACACTGCTGTTTTTTTATTGTAGGGCTGCTTGGTCCCCCTCAACATGGTAGCGCGCTTGGTATTTTGTCTGGCACACCACCGCCCCATCCCACATCGAACGCCGACAACTCTGTGCCGCACAAGAAACTGGATTTGAATGGGCGAAAACGTCCGTTTTTATCGTGAGAGAAAAGGAAGCAAGTGTCCCTTGCTTTCAGGGAGAGAAAGGAGTCAAATGACGTCTTATGTGCAAGTTCGTCCGTCACTCAATAGTTGGCCTGACCTGATCATGTAGGAAGGGTCGATGTACTTGACGTTGCATATCTTGTCCTCAGCGTGGTACGCGTCCTCGATGGCCCCCTTCATGAACTTGCCGATCGCCGGCAGTCGCTTGTTGCTTCAGCAGCAGAAAGAACACGACACAAAAAAAAAAAAACGCCACCGCGTACATCCGGGAGGAAAAAACGGAACATTCACGACGCCGGAGGGGCAGCAAAATTGGCGAGATAACGCCATCGGCAGAATGAGGCGTTTCTTCTTGAGGGCATTGATACATTTAGCTCCCGCTGGTACACCAACGCATTGCCAACATTTTGTGCTCTTTTCTGCTCGTGTGTGAAAGCACATTCGCTACGACTGTGTACATACGTGGAACTTGTGTTTTTTTTTGGTAGCTGGACAGTGCTCTGCTGCACATGAAGCTCTCCGCAGCAGCTGCTGTTGCTACCGCTGCTGTGCGTCGTTGTTTGCCCCCAGGTATCCTTGAAAAATGTAACGCTTTTCTCTCATCAATTGCTACTTATTATGTTGCTTGTGACGTGATGCGATATATGTACAACACACACGGCATGTTGTGCTCACCCGCTGGCATCCTTGGCCGTGCTCTCCCCTAGCAACTCCTCCCCGGCCCCTTCGGCCACAACCACGACGGCGTAGCCCTTCTCCTCAACCTGCCCTCGGAACGAGCAAGCGGCCGGAGGCGGTGAGGGTGATGTCACGGCACCAACAAACGCCCATCCCCATGACCCCGGCACGATATCTGCCGACAACATCGTCAACAACAGCACGGTATCTGTTCTGTCTTGTCTTGCCTTGTCTGTCCTAAGTGTGTGCCTGGCTTACCCTCTTCATGAGGTGAGGGATGCAGCCGCTCGGTCCCTCGAGAACGATAGGCGACTCCGGCACGAGGCACAGGTCCACGTCTCCGGACGCCATCGTGGCTGTCATGCGCGTTGCATCGTGTTGAGAGAGGGAAAAACACGCGACGGGCAGGAAGGATGGGGAGGACACGCAGTCCCAACAGCAGCAAGGTGTGCAAGCAATAAGCAATAAGTAGGTGTGCGAAACTCGAGACACCCCAGCTGGAAGAAAGTGCTCCAGATAGTTGGTGGTAAGGCGGTGATGGTACGACTTGCCAGTAGCAAATAAAAAAAAAACAGACAACCGTCCTGTTTTCTGCACGTGTTGACGCTCAATCGTCGTCTCTCACCGTATGCCGCGATGTATCCTGCCGATCGTCCCATGAGCTGTGATTGGTTTCAACCGACACCCGCGAGAAACGACACAACCGCGGGGGAGCGGAGGGGAGCAACGGAGTGCGCGCAAACAGGCGCAAGGGCGGGTTCGACATGGCGCGAAGCAAAGACAGCAGTGCTGCTGAGAGCTACTTGCTGCAAGCGAATGATGAACGGAGTGAAGCGGTCGCAAAGCCGCGACGTACACAATGGCACTACCAGATCACCTATTTATCTTCCTGTACAATGACCACGCCAAGAAAACTAAATAAATCGCGAGAAGGTGCACAAGGGTGGACGCCAAAAGGAGAGCGGCAGGGCTAACCGTAAACCTAGTGCGGTACTGAATTGTACTGTACCGTGCTTAGTGTATGGAGCGACTGGATGTTTCGCGATTGGAAAGAGAGACAGTTGGTGTCTTGCCTCTGCGGATCTATCGCCACCACGCACCTATCGTAGGCAACAACAAAAATAAACGTCCTGCCCCCTCCCCCAAACGTCACCACCTTACCAATCTATCGCATGCACAATACAATACTTCAATTGGCTTCTCGTGCTCACGTACATTACTCATGTACATGATTTCTAATGATCTTGCCTAGAGGCCGAAACGCACGGTGGGCTGGGCCATTCGCGCCGATACAACGACCAGATTCAATGACTCATTACCCAAACAACGTTTATCTACATGTATCCATACAAATGTCATGTTTGTATGAGTGTTTCTTTCATACCTTGACGACGCCAATGCCGTTGGGCAGGTTGCACTTGGCTTCCGTTGTGGCCGCCTGGATAGCCGCCTGTGCGGACTGTTTGGGAGGCGAGTGCGAGACGAAAAAACAGAGGATGATAATTTGGGCAATGCTGCTACTGCTGCTGATGAAGCATGTAACGCTACGAGGTTTTCCGAGTTGTGGGTGCCTCGATGACCGCGGGATCTCGTCATCATGAGACGTGGGCGAGTTCGTCGTCACAAAGGGTGGCCCTGTAGAATACTGGAAAGACACCATAAAGCCAATCACGCGGGCTGCGAACAGCTGCCGTCTTCGCCGAGAAAAGATGCGCCGCTGGAGGGTCTTAGAAACGCTAGAGGAGCGATGGATACAGTATCAAACCAAGAAGAGAGAAGCGATATGAAAAACCAAACCCGTCACCCTTGTATTTATATTATACTACCCTCCACGACAACGGTGGTATGTAGAGATATCATCCCCATCCATCCTCCCACTAAATAGTCTCATAATTTTAGCGTTTGGTTTGGTTTGGTTTGGTGTGCTCTGGGTCACCTCTACGGCGGTGAGAAAACCGAAGGAGCGGTCGATGATGTCCAGATCGTTGTCGATGGTCTTGGGGATGCCGGTCACCGAGATGTTCAGACCCTGATGCGGCAGAAACACGCCACGCGAAACAGACGCAAAAAGCAATGTTCACGTGTACTGTATGTACTGCTGTAGCGGCCACCACCCGAGAAAGGGTTTTTGTCCCCGACTGATGATGTGTTGGCATTTTTTCTGAGGTACATTTCATTCGTTCAGTAGATGATTTTCCCCCTTCGCATACGCAACACAGGGAAAGTCTGATCTTGAGGGAACAAATAATGCGCAGTACATTCCTTCAGTTTCGGCGAATGCGGTAGTGCACAGGCAGCAACCCTGAGAGCAAAGTGAAGGCGTTTGTGCAAGCGGTTACAGGAAGGATTGCGAATGAGATACGGCAGCAGTGAACAAAAAGGTAGGTACAGGAAGCTGAGGCCACACACAAGCATTTCTCCGTATATTTCGGCCTATTGACAGTGCAGAACGGAATAGCTCGCATCGCCGTGAACAGAACAGGGGCCCTCACCAATAACATCACGTGCCTATCCCTAAATAACATGACGGGTATGAAAGGAGGGGGGATAACATGAAATCAATTGTACAACAGAGGGCCGTTGCCTTGTGGGTAATATACCGTCACCGCCGAAGCTCTCAGCGTCTCTTCACGACCCTGCTCGCTCGCACACGGCATGCCCACTCACCCTTTGCATGCACTCCGACGCGATTCGCAGCGCTCCTCTGTGAGTTCCGTCGCCTCCAATGATGTACAGCTGGTTCACCTGGCCTCCGTCAGACCAGGCGGGAGGAGAGGGAGGAGGGCCAACGAGCGCAAGGCGGATATCATGGGCACCAAATACGAAACCCCAACTAACACCAGTCACAACATGTCGGCACCCCTTCTTGAGAGGACAAGCAACAACATCTTAGGACTACCCTAAAAGCGAGGACCGTTGGTACAGTTGATGGCAATCTTCCTGCTGGTGCTGGTGCAACCAATCAACACATAATGCAAGTATTGTGCACATGTCAATCTGTTAATGGTCTTAGCGACTACTGTACATTGTCGTGGTCCCACTCACCTTGTTGTCGACGAGGAACTTGATAATCTTGTCGAGGTCGAAGCCTCCACGGGAAGACCTGCATGCAACACACCAACACCGCAAGAGGACAATAATCACAACCCCAATTGGCAACAAGAATTACAACACTAGCAACAACAGGGGGCAGCGTCACTTTGTACGTATGCAAACGCAGCCCTCGCCAGGTTGGCACATCTAGAGTGCAACAGAAAAAGCAAACACTGCATCTCAATATGATGAAAGGTGCAGAAAGGCACCCAGAACAGATGGGAAGGAAAAAAAATCAAGCTGCTTGACGCGTACAACGGCTTAGATGATGACCCGTGCGCATGATTGTAAGAGGATTTCTATTCTGCGCTTTTCTTTCCTAGCGTTATGCGTGCAGACGCATGGTCATTACACATATGCATACGTGCAACGTCCTGCCTCGACACACAAGACAGGGCCAAGTTCCCCACACACAACACAGCATATTCCATTTCATGTCCCATTTCATATTCCATATTTACAATATTCGATATGAAGAATAGCACCCAAGGGAAAAGTTCCCACAGCCTTCAACCTTCAACGAGCGCGTTGCACTCCAACGCACACCTCCAGGCCCCCGTTCCCTACGTTGAAGGCATGCTAGAACTAAGCAAAGTCGGATTCGTATTTGGATATGTTTGGACGAGCGACGACAAGGTATTGGTGTTCAAACGACTGTCGACACCATCTCATGCTGCTGTCGACCTGATTCAACGACTGCCGTTCACTGGTGGTGGACTCAGATCCCCTGCAGTAGACCACTCTCTTGATTAACGCCAAAACACAAACAAGCCAGTTTCCGCTCGGCCTTTGCAAGTACCAAGAGACAAGCACGGGTCCCGGACAAAGAGCTAAGGTAGCATTGTAACCTTCTCTGACAGCTGACAGCACCTCCTCCCTTACCCGAGAACGGACCCTGGCTGGTGCTGGAGGAACTCCACCCCCTCGCTAGTTAGCTCCACCGCAGGAGTAGCCTCGTCGTAGAACCCGGCGAAGCCGCCCCTGATGCCGAACACCTGTGACAGCAGTCGCCGCCCGCCAAGCAAAGGAGGAGTGGCCATACCAGGGTCGTCGTCATCTTACAGTCAACACGTGCGCTTGAGGAGCAATGGTATTACCCGGGTGAGAGGTGAAAGGGATAGCGGCGGAGACGCGCAAAAGAATGACCCGACAACGGACAGCCTTCGCGAGAAATCAACTTTATGAGGACATACAACAAGGACGGGGAGCGGGGGGTACGAAGACTCTATCCCTAACCCTAACGCAACTTTCCCAGCCAGCACTCCTTATCCAACATGCTTACCTAAACGAAAAACCCTGCATACAACACGCATGGAGCGAGATTCAGAGAGTGCTTCGTCACGACAGCAAAAAAAGACAAGACGACCAAACGGACCTGAATGGTAAAACAACACCGCGTGCAGTACACGGCAGCACTTCGTGTCCACTTTAACACATAGCCACTTCGATCTCCCCACCCGTCGCATCGTCCCCCCCCCCCCCCCCTCCCCCACGCACACATACACACGTTGTTGTCCCGCTGCCACTGGGGTCTTTTCTACTGGTCAGCCCAAAAACGAGGCCGTTGTCAACAAAAAACACTTTTGATAAAAACGGCACACCTTGTCGGCCTTGTAGGTGAGCAGCATCGTCTCTACAAGGTGATGGACAACGCTGTTGAGTCCCGGGCACAACCCGCCGCACGTAACAATCGCCCCTCGCACTTCCGTGGGGTTGAAGTGAAGCTCGGGTCGAGGCCCTGCACGCAGTGCGCGTTGGATGCACAGCGGCAGAGCAGCAACAACCATGTGAGATAGATGCGTACGGGGTCATTCTTGGCACGGAACATATATTTCATCGATATTTCGGCGTTTTTCTTCCAGGCCTTGAAGTGCGTCACGGTATACCGTACCGCACCGCACCGCACCGCACCGCACCGCACCGCACCGCACCGTACCGTACCGTACCGCACCGTACCGTACCGTACCGTACCGCAGCAATCTTCGTGCACAGACACGGTACGGTAGGCTTTCCCAAAATAAGCATGTGTTCTCCAAGTGCCCGCCCCTGGTCCGCACGATGGTATGCTTGTAGACTATTCCCCGCATAATGTACGTAACACACCTGCTCGGAGGAAGGCTTTCGCCGTTGGGGGCTTGTTCTTGTCGCGCACGTGCTCTGCTCGACCGAAAGGGGTAGGGGTTATCGACGGCAGCAGCAACCGCAGCAGCGGTGGTCAGAGACAGCAGCGAGCAAAGGGAAGGTCCACGGTAGTACAAGTAGTGCATCGGTATCCTGCGGCTTGGACGAAGCAACAACGACGGAGTTGGGAGAGCAATCGGATTCCCTACACGCTGGGAAAAATCCAGTGGCGTGCATAGCTCGTACCATTAAAGACTCTGGAGGTTTGTCCTCGCCGACGTGTGTGCATAGCCGCCGACAACGGGTCAAAGACGATGTGCATGAAAAAAAACACACACACAAGGTAGACGCCACAGCACAACAGCGTTTTTGCCCCCAGCCCCAGGGGCACCACTCTTTTCTTGCAGAGAGAGAGAGAGAGAGAGAGAGAGAGAGAGAGAGAGAGAGAGAGAGAGCGCTCGCACAATTTCTGCGTGAAACAACAGAGTCGACCAACGGGCGGCGAGCGACTCCGCTCTCTCAGTTCCGCACTTCGCACTCGCCGTAAATGATGCAGTCCCTCGGCCCCAGGAGCTTGTTGTAGCACGTCGGGCTGCCCTGAGTGTTGACGGTGATCTCGCGGTTGGGGGCTAGGGACGAGGGGAACTTGACGTTGAGGTTGGGCACCTCGCACATGATGATCTTGTCCAGGAACATGCTGCGGGGCGAGGCAAGCCAAGGCAGAGCCGGCGCAAAACGACAGATAAGCCGGAGAAGGACCAAGCAGAGCAAAGCAGGGCGGAGTGAGCCACATTAAACTGCTTACAGCTCGGAGCAAGGCGGAGCCCTGCAAACGGAGCGAGGCAAAGCAGGGGACGGAGAAGAATTTCGCACGAGGGCGCGCATGTGCAGACAACGTGTGCTTTTGGGGGGATTGCTTTGCGTCAACGCTGTTACTGCGGGCTGGCTTGACGCATGGGTGAACCGAGAGGCACAACACTCGCGAGAGAGTCGTTCTTCTCCGCACTACAAAAACTATTTCGGAAACACGTGATCGGTGCGAAGGGGGGTTGAGCACCAACCACTCAGAGAGGTCGAGGCTCTAACGAATCAGGTGCACAAGAAGCAAGAACGTTCAAAACGACAAAAAAAATAATTTGTTCAGCCTGTGATGGAATACCACACGAAGAGCCTCGATGTTTATTTTGCACCAAGCCCTCGAGCAATTCATACATACAGACGAGGGTGTTTGCTGCACGAACACCAACACGGGGACGACCCTTCCTTCCGCTGATTGCGCTTTGTTCGACGTGCATACAAGGAAAGCAGAAATAGACGAGAAGTGATCACCAGGCACCAGGCATCACATTCAACTATAACAGTGGTTTGAAAAAAGAGACGTTCTCTCCTGCAGAAGACTGGCTTAATATCTCGCACGGGTAGTCTTCCAGTGACACGGTACTTTCTCAAAGGGCACGTAGAGGGAAGGTGCCCCGCCTTGTATAAAGGTGTCGTGGTCGGAACGCGGTCGTGCGACCAAGAGGCCAATGCAAAATTATTGTAGAGTCAAAGCTTCTTGCACCGGCGAACCGCAAATTCGCATACGCGGTAAAACAGTATCTTTGTGGTCGTTTCGAAGGTCGCCAGCCGCCCGCGCGAAGTGCGAAGACTTCTGCTTTGTCGTGAGTGGACTACTGCTGAAACAACACATCAAACGCTACGACTACAACAACAGCAGTATGCGTACCATGCGCAAACAAATACAAACACAGTCATCGCTATTCGTGTCACAACGTGCACATGGGGTGGCCTCTAAACGCGAACGACCGCTGCGGAAAGGCTGAAAGGGAACTGAGGCGCGCCTCTTCGTTTGAGGAGGTCGCTACAATATGGTGCGCGGCCCAGCGAGATCGTCCGCATCATGACTTCAAAATTTTCGCCGCCCCCTCTCCTCTACTTGTACCAGAAAACTGCTGCAGAAAGCCTAAATGCCACATACGGGTACACGGTGGAATGACTGCTCAGGATCGCTGCTAGCGGCTTCTTCGGCAGCAAGAAGCCGTTACACCACCGCTGCTTCGAAAGTTTCGGGTGTTGGGGATGATCGTACGTAAGATGATGGATGGTGTTAGGAAACGTAAATGATGTTGTAGCATGCACGTTTGACGTCACGGTTGGCGTGCAGGTACACACAGTACAAGTTCGGCGCGGAGAGTAAAGTACAGGAGACTGCAACTTCGTTGGCACTGCGTGTCTGCGCTCTCAACGCAGGAAGCATGGACCAACTCTCCAGCATGCACCACGTACGAAGCCTAGTCCGAAACTACCTCTGCTCCTCCGGTGCCTGGGTGTCGCCCGACAACGCCCGACAGACGACGATTTGGCTACTCGTGAAGATCAACGAGAGAGCTAGCGCGGCGGTGTGATGGAGAGCAACATCAACTTCGGGGCTGCACTACAGAAGCAGTCAGCTTTATTGCACACATACCCGCTCTCCGTGTGACCAAGGTCTTCAGCGCAGACAGATCCCGTGATAACTCCATCCTCGTTCGTGATGAGGTGCTTCCTCAAACCAACGGAGGGTATCGGAGTAGGGTCTTCTTCCATAGCAACACTGCGCTCTGCTCCTGCGAGCACACGAATAGGGGAAAAAGAGGCAGCGCAACTTGAGAGAGCAGTTTGTTCAAAGTTGAAAGAGCAGGTGGTTGTGCGTCTGCACAGGAGCGGCAGTCAGCAACGCGCCAAGTGCTCTCACCTATGAGGAAGGTTCTCTCCTTTGTACCCTGCACCGGCGAATTGCAACTGACAGCGCGTGGACAGAGAAGGTGGTGTGCGTGCAAAGTTGTGCATTGCAACGTTTGGCGCCGCCGCCGTTCAACCGGGGATGGCCGAGGGCCATCCCCTGCTACATCACGCCTCCACATATCACACATACATTATTTTCGTTCCCTGGGTTCGCTCTTTATTGTCTGTCATATTCCATAGGTTCTTGCTGCCTTGCTTGTCCGTCCGTGAGTGGCAGAGAGACACACACAAGACGCTCTCCCTTTTGTTTGCCGTACACACCTGCTACTAGTAGGGTGTGGCATCACAGTATTGACGAACGTGCTTTGCTGTTGTGCTGTACCATTGAACCTGTCTGTGCCTGTATTAGAATAAATACTCGATCAGCACAGGTTACCGCCCGTGAAGGGATGGTATGTACTGGGTGAGTGCAGGATACACGACGAGTCGTTTGCTGCTTCCCCATGTTCAATCTAGGCTTGAATGCCGGAACCAACCCCCCAGAAAATAGTCGCACGCACAACCAAGAAACACAGCAGCACCCTTCCTGGCACAAAAATGCGCGAGAGGGTTGAGCCGGCCTCTTTCCTGCAATAAGGAGAGAGTTGGGTCAATCCTCTGGGAATTCCATTTGAACTACTGTTCTACAGTACACAGCACTGCGCGGCTGTGGATGTGTACTTTTCGTTCGGATAACAATTACCTCCGGGGGCGGGGGGATGGGGGACGACCTCTAAACAGATGCAGGAAGCGATGTACATAGTATCGTATTTGTTTCGCATCACGCCCGAGGTAGGATGACATTGCTGTACGATGCCACCACATCAGTTGCTTGCATAGAAAAGGCTGCAAAACCCCGCATGGTGAGCGATCATTCGCTAAGTGCACTATTCTATTGCATCATGTTTCTCCACAAGGGTCTCTAAACCCCGTGCTCCAACGGTTCATCAAGACCCCGCTGGTCACCAAGGCCAGAAAATGACTAGCTAGCCTGCAGATGTTCTCTCAATGCCTCTTCTACAGCTTTGCACGATTGATTTCCCTTGCGTGCGTAAAACGTCAGAGGCATCCATATGGTAATCAACAAAACACCAAAACAACCGGAATACAGATTAACCCGCATACTATTCACACACAGGAACGTCGGCTTCAAAAGAGCCCAAAAGCACAAGGTTTTCATCTACTGGTGGTGTTGTCTCTCCACACCCTCTCTCCCACCTGCTGTGTAGAACGCACGAATGAGGAGGCACGTCTGCACAAAACCCAAAAATCTAGCCAGCGCTAGGTAGTGCACTATAGGAATGTACGAGACACTTGCCCTTAATAGTACCACAACCTCAAGTACAATTTGTGTTACAGCACTCAACAAGGGGCCTCCGACGATACAAGCATTGAAACAACTTCAATCAATCAAGCAAGCCTGTAGAGCAAAGCTCGTGTGGCCCGTTAAACGCAGGCAGTCCCCACTCGCGAAAGAAAACAAAAAAATGGTAATATTCTATTTCACATGTACGTTATACTAGGTAAACTTAACCGTAACTAGAAACGACCAATCACTATCGTCCCCCAATGCCCCCGTCAACGTAATGCTGTCTCCTCTCGCTGCCCCAAGAAACATCAGGACAAACCCATGGTAACACTACTACTGTCGCGGAGGGGTCACATTGTCCACAGCAGGCTGTAGATCTGGGACGTCGGGCGCAGATGCCTGCGTCACACGGTTCTCTTGTTCCAAGCTATATGCCTTGAACTCCTTTTCAAAAGCGGCTCTGAAATTTCGAACGAAAAGGGAAAAACACGCAATAACCCTGGGTCAGATGTACTGAGCAAACTGGTCAGGCGCTCGGGCATAAAAAAAAGCAGTTCCAAGCTAAGTAAACGGTTCCTAGCTGGCTAGACTATTCGCAGAAACTATGGATTTGAGCTTTGGCATGATTGGAGTGAGTTGAAGCTGGCGGACTTTCGTAAAATGAACAGGTCAACGTTTGGCATGACTCCCTTCATACGAATCAAGCTTCCCATGACAATAACACCCCGTTCACAGACGTGCTGCCGCCGCAGCCAACGATAGGTCCCTTGCTTGTCACAACAGAATAAAGATTAGAGACTATGAAGTAATTGCACGTCCGTATGACCATCATGAATGCACTTGCCTACAGTTTTCCTCAGTCAGTTCGAGACAGGAAAAAACGAAAAAAACGTGCCCCTACCTCATGACCGCGTTGATAGCGTATATCTCCGCCCTTCTACGTTCTCTCTCCCGCGAAGCCTTAGCCCACCTCTCGGCGGCTTCTGACGCTCGGACGGCATCCGCCGAATTGTTATGCTCAGCGAGAATTCGTCGCTCCGCCTCTTCGGCTCGGGCCGCTGCTAGTTTTCTGGCGGCCTCCGTCTCCGCTTCTGCCTGCTGCCTGTGCTCCTGAGTAGCCTGCTCTTCTTGTTGGCTTTCCAACTCTTCTGCTCTTCGCCGTTTCCACTCCATCACCCGTAACCGTGCCTGTTTGAAAGCGGACGAAGTTGGAAACAACCTTGCAGTTTCGACGCCTGACACACACGAATCCGGCGCCAGCGCTACCAAACCTCCACCATCGTCAGGTGTATGCACGTGGTACTTGGTTCTGCCGTAGAGGGGGCGAGTAACGTACTGATCACCAAGAGACTAAGCCCCTTTTTGGCGGCTCAGCGATTTGGCGGCTGCTAGCCCCGGAGGTGCGCTATGCTTGGGGCACCAGTCGCTTCATACGCAAACTTCCTCGCGTACACCCAGGACTGCAATGAATGCAAGTCTGTCTGTATGTTCAGGAACAAGGGGCAATTTTTCAAAAGGATACCTTCAGTTGGGCCTGATCAGCCCCCGGGTCCGTCGCGGTCTCGCTGCTGAAGGACGTCCGGCTGCTTGGCACTCCTTCACGTGCCGTATTTGTGTTGCTGGTAGTGCTCGGTCGGGATGCATCAGGGGTAGTGCTCCTTCGTCTCGCCAAGCTGGGTTCTTGGCCCGACGAGGCAGGCTTTCTCTGGGCACTGCTGAGGTTACGGGATCTTCTACGAAAGCGACCGTCCACGTCGGATTTCCTTCGATGCAATGGCGCGAGCCGCTGTTTCAATTTGCCTACACCTTTGCCTGTAAGTTCTTGCTCTGGTGAGAGCAGCGGTAGCACTGGCAGAGTACGAATGAGGCGTGCGAACGGGCGAAAGCCGCAAAGGTTAGGAATTGTGTGTTTTCGCCCCACATATCCGGGGGTAAGTCTACACCTTACGGTGTACGTGTTTGACGCACCAGCCGGGGTCACATAGGGAATCGTCCCTCAGGAAATTTTCTTTCTTTGGCGTTTCCTGCGTTGTGTACCTTCAATTTTAAAGTGAGAAGGGTTCAGAAGGTCCTCTCCTCTGTTGTTGTGTGACGCACTTTAAGGATCGACATATCTCTCATGTGTTACCTCGATTGTTTCGTGTGGAGTAGAACACCTCAGTGAAACTATTCAATCTTATGAACACTTCCTTTCCTATGACTCCCTCCCGCTGTATGACCCCAAGACACAACAGAACTATTAACGCTGAGACTTGAAGTTCCAACTTTTGGGGGTCTCTGTCTTCTTCGGTCGGAGACAACGGTGTCTGGTTCACATTCATTCACATTCACACCGTAAACCAAGCACGCACTCGCCAATAAAGCGATCTGAACTTGGGGCATGTTGCCTCTGTCAAAGAGGAATCGGAGGAAGGTTTCACAATTGACGGCCGTTTCGGCTGCCACCCAAACTAAAACCGCGAGAAATATGGATACGTTTACATAGCCTGGACTGCTTTGACTTGCCTTTCGCTGCAGTTGGCTTGGCCGCTGTGTTTCCGCTAGTAGGTGCTGTCCCATCCTGGGAACGACTCACCGCTCCGACGGGGACAATTGAGTCTCTGCTCTCGCCCCAACAACCCCGAGTTGTTCCAGCAAAATCCACCTGGAGCTCAGAGGGTGCACACTCAACCTTGCCCCGTTCGGGAAGCAGGTGTGGCCTTACCTCTGCTAGCTGATATGTAGGTACACCAGTGGTCATTTTCGAAGCGATTCTGAGTGTCGTCGTCGGCGGGTCAGGTGCTGACCCCGACCGTAAAAGTTGTTGTTCTGGTTTTTTTGTCGACAGCAATTGCTGAAAACCAATCCTATGGGCGCCACCGCCCCCAGCAGCAGGTTCTCGGGCAGTGGCTGCCACAGATGTTGTTTCCGCATCCACCGCAGCAGAAGCCACACCGTCTTGCTTGAAGGGACCGCCCGAGATTCGCTTTTCGCGCACAATACTCACCTCCAGCACCGGGACTGGGAGGGGTTTTCGAAGAAGAGGTTTGGTCTTGGCCATAGGTGCTGCTGTTGCTGTTGACCCTTTGCCGATCTCTACAGCAGGTTCTATTCTATTTGAACCCACCAATGCATCCTGAGCGCTGACACCCTGCTTTGCTAACCCCCCTTGGGGTGATGGCTGTGGTGGCGGTTTGGGTGAAAAGGCCGGCTTGGAACCAGAGACGCTCATACTCCTGGACAACCTCCACCTGCTCGTAGATATATCTCGCGGCTTCTCCTGCCGTCTTGCTGGGGCGTTGCTATTGGACAGAGATCGCTGGCTAGCGGCTCTTGCTGGTGTTGCGGTGGAAAACGGGAGAGAGAAAATATGTTACTGTGGGCTTCCGACGAAGGATGGCGGCCGAATTAAATAACGATGATGATGATGGCCAAGATGCACGCACGGCGGATCAACTAAAACCCCAGGCCCAAGACGCTTGCGGCCTGTGACCCTGAGCATCAAAGAGACGCGTGCGAATGACGCATAATCTGCTCGAAGTTATCAGTACCTCAAGCTGTGCGGGTCACGAGTGGGATTGAGTGTTGGTTGTTTTTATTCACTCGCGAAACTCTGACATTGCAGACACAAAAGTGCGCACCTCGACCAGCGCCCCTTGTTGGGACTCGGTTCACCCGACTTGAAGCAGATGACCACCTGAGACTGATCAACGTCATCGCTGCCAGCGGGCAACTCGCGACCAGCTGAGCAAATCACAGCGTCCCATCTGCTGCAAGGCTGCAAGGCGAAAGGCGAAAACGCGAAGACAGGAAGACACGGGCAGCGAAGTTGCGGCGGGATATGTTGCGATTCAGCATTTATTACGCCGCATTTTGGAGATAGATGGGAGACGGAGACATGGAGACGGAGATGGGAGATGGGGATGGGGAGATGGATATTGAGATAACGAGTGATGCGAGCATGCGTATATACGCTTCCCTGCCTGACGTAGCGTGGTGCCAAAACTCCATAATTCAAATCTTCGGTTCCATGTTATTTGTCCTCTCTCTCCTGAGACCAAACAACAAGCACATCGAAATACCTGCGGGCTGGATACATACGGGGTGCAATACCAAATGACCAAATAGGCAAAACAAGCCCAATTTCCAGCCGGTTTCGCTCCACTCATTGAAAATATTCAGCACATCCCTTCCGACTGTGGAATATCTCGAACGGGTAGTTTTCCTGTTTTCCAGTGTTTCCATGTATGTACATTTTCAAAAAAAGGGAAAAGTTACCCGCAGGGGAGATGTCCCTATATATATGCTGTCTTGGAAATCGTAGACATATACAGGTACTTTCTGACGCTAAGAATTCATTGCTAATCTGTCTCAGACTCTTTTCTATGATAGAGATGGATTCGTTGCGTCATATTAAGAAAAAAAAAACAACGTTGCGTGTGTTACTATGTGAGTACAAGGATGTGAACGGTGGTTCTAGGCAAGGTATTTGGATCTGGCGGGAACTGCAACTCCCTACGATTTGTTGTCGAAGTGGGGATATTGCCATAGCGGCCCCTCCCTACGAGGAGCGGCCCGCGCCCCCTCCTGTTCAGTCTATCTGAACAAAGGTCAGCAAGTGTGCTGATGCGTTCATAGACAATCAAGAGCACAAGAAAAATATGCAAGTGAGTCATCATCAGGGCCTTCAGGGATTGCACGCGTGCGAACCCCACAACACCTGATCATGACATATTATACCATACCACATACATCCTCGTATCGACTAGCGTGTTGCGCAGGTGTCTTCTTGCCAACATACCACAATGCTGCTGTCCCCTGTGGCACACGGGTGACGTGAGCGTGATGTCGACTCCTCCTGGTTGTTCCTCTGTTGTAGGAGTGCTGACTCGTCGGGATACTGCGAGACGCCAGGATGTCACAAATTTCAGATTCCAATCAATCCCAAAGTCCCATGGTTGAGTGCAAGTACTTGTAGAAAAAAATCGAGGCTACAGCAGTTAGTCTCAGCAATGTTTTGCTCAGTGGTCGTCCACCTGACCACTCGCACGCGGTTCTTTTTGCTTTCACAATTAAGCCACTCACACACACTCAACTTCTCTACCCTTGGGCAGCGCAACCTTCACTCAATACTTGCACGTACCGCTAGAATTTTTTGCGCGAGGATCGGTTCGAGGCCGTGAGGGCGTAATGCTGCCGTTTGATCTCTGTACTCCGCACCTCTGGAAAGACATTCCGTACAGCAAACGAGCGTCACCTGGACGGATTTTGCCGCCTAGCGGGCCTCGGGCACAAGCGGCGGGGGGCCTCGAACCTCAGGCTAAGATAACCCGTTCACAACATACCACATAGAGTAGTAGAGAATCGACATTTTTTTAACATGGATATCCAGATGCAGCTGTGACACGGAGGTCACTGGCGCAGCAGAAGTCAGCATGCTGATAGTCCAAAATGAAATCAGCAGCCCTCGGAAAACATGACTTCGCCCCCTTTCCCCATGCACAGGAAACAGCTCTCCAGTCGAACATAAACTCAGGACACCGTGCGAACCACTCGCACACCAACCGAACTAAAATATTTGATGACAAAACGACAAAAAAAAAAACAGTAGAAACACATTCGGGGCCAGTTGCGGAGCTTGCAATCTCATACGAATTCAATAGGTAGTGCCCAGGATCCAATGCCAGACCATCATTGCACGAACGACGACGGCCGCTCGGCATCCTGACACGCATACAACAAGGTGCAAGCGCGTCAAACAACACAGTGACTGCTTCAACCGAAGAACTCATTACCGTCGGCACAATCCAGAGACATTGAACCACCCGCTCTACGTTCAGTCTCCAACACACCAAAATTTATGTATATACGAAGAACACCGAAGAATCGCTTGTGGACGCATGTCGCAACCCGTTTACCAGAGGAGCAATCCAGCCCCAACCTTTCACTCTCGGCAGACCGGTCAACCCGCGATACCACCAAGGGGTTGGTCTTGTTATGGAGAAATGGCGATCCTGTCAAGCTTGAGCCGGTCTGCGCGAGGGCTCCACGACCTAGCCTCGTCCGGCCGAGCTCGACTAGCGGGTGAAGATGGGCGTAGTGCCGCGTGGAACGGTGGTGGCTATGCGGTTTGCGGTTCTTCCTGGAGTCACGGGGCAGCAGGGCGGAATGAGGATGTGGGGCAAGGCAAAATATGTTGCATTATTGGGGTGTACATCGTTTGGCAGCCTCCGTTATGGGATAGCTGCGTCAGAGGCGACAGCCAAGGGCATGGTAACAGCGGAGTTTGCAATCCAATCTTCCGGAGGAGCTAACCCGGCACAACAGAGCCAGGCGCACAAGCCGCCCCTGCCTGTGCTATACCCCAAAGTCGACTCGAGAAGCGAAGCGCTACGCCTTGCAGAAAACACAACTTAGCACCATAGCTCTCCAACGATCCACCCTTTTTCCAACCCTGCTGCTACTCCTGCTTGGATCCGGCAGAATTCAACAACACCCACCGGTTCCTCGTCCTCGTACTCCTGCACGAAAAAGGCGGCGTGGTTCTTCTGCATGAACCGAAGGAAGTCCGCGAGCAACTTCTGCACCTGGGTCACCTCCGGCGGCGTGAGAGCAGACTGTGCGAGCAGCTGTGGCAACCGCACTGGAGCACGGTGGCGTCGTAGCCAGCGGGCGGCCGGGGTGACGAAGGAGCCGCCATCACACGCAAAAAACAAGGGGCGTATGAGAGTTTGGAAATAGAAAACAGTACCTCATCCCCGGAATGCCGCAGAGTGTAAGCCACAGGAATTTTCAACCCTGGAAGCACAGTCCACGAGAAAATATTTCGGCACCCACCCTCGGTATGGATATGGCGACCACGCCCACGGAACTATTCGACGGGCTAGAGCAACGTGCCCTGGAAGGTTGCGTACGACACGCCTCGTGAGCTGCACAATGGAGAGCACGGGCGGTGGCTCACCAAAGACTCTCAGGAGATGCTCTGCCCCGTAAATCTCGCTCGGACTCTTGCCGGGGAGTTTCTGCACCGTGATGTCGTACTGCGTCCTCTCTTGCCGGTAGAGCAAGATCAAAGGCAGGGCCTACGTCCAGCGAAAAGGCAACGGAAACGTTCGTTGGGGAACCCGCAAGCTTCAGAACGGCAATTATGGCGTGTGCACCGAAACAGCCACCCGCGCCAGTCCAAGAACGCCCAGTGTCCGCTTCCCACAGCGTAAACCGACACGTAGCACAAATTTTGGAAACAGTCGAAAAAACATGGGCCGTGCATACGCACATGCCTCATGCGTGGCGGGCACGCTCGTCGGCACCACCGACGGTGGCTTAAGCGAACAGCACCGGAGAGCATCCGCCGGCCTCAACTACTTCTAGATGGCCACCGCACCAAAACGAAATAGAAACAATGCCGCGTGGTCGTCGCGCTGGCCGGCGCTTCATGTCCCGGAGCGAAAAGCCTCCTCCGGACGGCAACTCAAGCACGAAACGCCAACTAGCCAAGACGCGATGCTTCACGTTGTCGTACGGGCAACCTGCTCCACGCAACAAATACCCCCATCTGATCCCCCCCTCACCCGAACCGGATCTAGTCTGGCCTAGCCCTCACCTTATCGAAGTAGATCCGCACGCCGTCCATGAGCTCCTGGGCGCGAGCAGTCTGCTGCGGCGTCCCTCGGTTGGCTTTGCTCTCCATGTACTGTGCCATCACGTTTGCGGCGGTCAGCTCGCGCGGCAGCTTGACCAGACGCCGCGGCTCCTGGGTGACGTGCTCCCAGTCGGTGACGAGCTGCTTCTTGAGCGTGAAGGGCATCGCCACCTTAACCTCCGTCACCCCGCTGTCGTCTTCCTGTTTTCGTCCCCGCGGGGAGAGCAAGGTTTCGTCGTCGAGAACACGTATGCCGTCATCCTCATGAACGATCCACTACAGAGACCGTGAAGATTTAAGATTCACAAAGCGCACGCAAGCGACCTCAACAACCCGGCTTTGTTCGTCTGCCATCTGGAGTACTGCACAGCAGAACAGCAGCGGCTAGCAAAGCATTAGCAACCAATATCCTCCTCTACTCCCTAAGTATTCTTGTTGTCTAGGTCTGTACAGCTGCAAATACTTAAACAACTGCTGTACGTTTTGTCTGGATCTGGTAGCACCGGAGGAGAGCAGCGAATTTTGTGGTACACGAGCAGTGCGCATTGAAGTAATTTCGCAGAGGTTTCGTCAGGTGGCGTCAAGGCGAGGACCACGATTCAGGTAGTCGGCGTTCGTAGGTTTGTTGATTTTGTTGCCCCGCTTGTGCAGCAAATACTTAAACCTCCACACGTGTGCTGATGTTTGCTTTCAGCCGGAACGCTACGTATGCCCGCATCGCTCCAGACAGCGGTTGACTAGAACCATACACGGTTCTTCCTTGACTGAAAAAAGGCGTTCGATCGAGCGTTTGATCGAGCGTGGAATTCATCCCTAAATGTAAGCTCCCTCTCACCGTATCCTTCTTGACATCTACGCGAGCCTTCTTGATCTTTTGGTCTTCCTTCTTGATCTGCTCCTTGACCTTCTGGTCTTCCTTGCGCTTGGCCGCGTTCACCTGGACCCCAGCGGCGACCGAACGAGGAATGGAAAAAATTCACACGCCACGTTTGCTTCAACAAGAGCAGCGGGATAAAAACATTGGGAACGGTCATGATCCGCCGAGGTCACACCGACCGAATCCCTTCGCCCAGGCCATTCCCGGGGCAGTAGTTCATTACTTCCACGGATACCGGGTGTTTGTCACGCTGACGGACCAACCGCTCAATTGGGAACTTCATGACAGTTTCTGTTCGAGCTCGGACCCAGCTCATGAAGGAAGGTTTATAACGCCGGGTTCAACAGCACAAGCCCGAACACAAGGTCCTACTACTCCTTAGCAGTAGTAGAAACCGATCTCGATCGCAACAACCACGTGGAGAGCTGGCTGACCTTCGCCTTCTTCTTCTTGTCCTTGAGCTGTTGCTGCATTTCCAAAGCCTCAGGCCCCGCCGCCATGAGGTCCGACTCGACAACCCACTTGTCCCATCGGCTGTTCCACCCCATGTAGTGCAAGAAGTACGTGAACTGCTCTCCGGACGGCTTGAACTTGATAACCTGGCAAAGGACACAGGGGCATGACACGAGAGGAACGAGGCCTACTTGCACTGAGCGGGTTCATTTGGCGCAACGGATGGTGTGTGCGTGTGTTCCTCGTTCCGTTTATTCTGGATGTCAGCATTATTGTTCCTCTCGGTATTCTTTCTGAACGCCAGCATGGCGATAAAAAAGGCCGAATAGTAACCGAGAGAGAAACGCCTGGGTGACAACGATCTTCCCGCGCAACACCCAAGCATTGCGTAGCACCGAGAGAGCGCAGTCAGGACCACGGGCGTCAACGCGCTTGGAACCTTTATGCCTCTTGCTCGCGGTCTGCGAGAGACCTGGCGGGCTGCAGCTGCAGTTCAACTCCAAGCACAAAAATTCCGTTTGCGTTGGTGCGCCCGGCTGGTGCATGCGAACATCTGAATCAATTTGCTTCACTGGGCAAGACCCAAACAACGGAAACGACAAAATGGCCGATATTTACAGGGACATATTATGAACCCACGGAAGAGTTCGGACACCAAGAGCCATCGCTTGCCTAATCCGTACAGCACATGTGCATTGGGGGTGTTTTCGTCTCATAAATGCTGGGCGCCAATCTACACCTTTCCGTATTTGTTTGACGCACCAGGACCAGTACGGGTACTAGAATGTATTGAGCGGAGACCGGAACGGTTCTGAATGTTCCATTTGACCACAAACCCTGGACCCCACACTGTCGCACCACAGTGCCGACTACAACATGAACACGAACCACCAAGACCCCGAGCAACCAAAACGTTCGCAATGAGGACAACTCGATCGACTCCGAAGGTCCTCCATCGCTGACCTCTGATTTGGAAGACGAGTTTTTTTAAACCAAAGCCGCCACAGACGACGAGCCAATGTTGGCAGACGAGTTCCATACTCCATCAATGGATGTACGTCAGAGCGCTAGGCCTTTCGTCCAGTGTCTTTCTTCGCCACCCAAAGAGTATGGATGCAATTACGCGACAAGTCCTCCGCATCCCCGTCGAAAACGTACGAACGTGACAGCTGGGTGTTGCACATATCCGGACAAATTGCATTGAATTCAGCGCCGCCTCGCTTATTAACGACGCTTACCACTTGTAACAAGCCTGTGTAAAATTGTGAACAAGCGTAGCAAGTTACACACACAAAGAACACCAAGACAAAAGAACAACAACGCATCGCCACTCCCACATCTCCCAAACGCATAGCTCGCCATCTACTCGCGCTACAGAGAGGGAAGGAACAGAGGCCACATTATAATGAAACTGCTGAATCCAGACAGCAGAGCTATGTACAGTTTCCCGTGAAACTGCCTGTGGAAGATGCTCTCTCTTTCAGTAACCGTCACACCGATCACGTGACAGCCGGTATCGGCTCGATCGCATGCCGGCAACTATCTTCAGAGTGCGGGTCTCTCCAACCTTTCAGTCCACTACACCCCCGACCCACCGCCAAGCTACAGTCTAATTCAAATTGTGAGTTTGAAACTGACCTTGGCTTCGTACAGATCACCGCTGTCCATAGCATAGACCTTGTCATCTGCCTTGAATTTGTTTTTGTTGGACGCGGCGCCTTTCTTGTCTTTGGCGGTTTTGGTCATGGTGATTTCTCCACGCTTCCTGCGCTCTCTCTCTGTGCTCAGCCGCCTTGCTACCCTGCCGTGTGCGCGTTGCGCGCCGCTGCTCTACCCACGCGTGGGTTCGGCAACCCCCTGCCGTTGTCGAAACCACGGAACCTCCCACATGCGGCGCAATTTCAAAATATTGAAAATTGAAAATTGCGCCGCACAGCCACACGAAACACCTCAACACCTCGCAGCTTTCTCTCTCCTGCATCTCCCTTACCTCTGACCTACTCTGGGATGCGCTACTGCGTCATCGACGAATCCCCAAGTTTTCACTGAGGAATGCTGTCTGTCTTCTCGCTGTTGTTCATGGCCGGGATGCTGCACAGAGGGACAGCCTTCGGCCTTCCTCGAATTGCTCAGCGAAGTTCAGCAACCCTTGCCTCCTGGGTGAAGGTGTCAGCAGCAGCAGCAACGGTCCAACCACCTCTTGTAGCCACCAAAGATACATCCAGCTTGCTAAGCGAGCTTGCATCTAGAGTCGTGCAAGGAAAGGCGGAGAGGGTGAGAGCAATACATTCTACAGTGTATGCATCGCTCATGTCTTTCCACCCGAGACTGTCAGATTTTGGCGCCAACGGCTGCGAATTCGTGTATCGAGTGTATTCTACTGTATGCATAGATCTGTAGATCCAGCAGGTGGATCGCACTTGGTTTCATTGTTGTTGTGCTGCTTTGTTCCACCCCCTGCCACCGGATTTCACTATCAGGCAGTGCCGGCAGGATCCCAGCTCAAACGGAGACGCGCCTGGGACCTGTACCTCGATGGGTCAGAGGCAGCAGCGGTGTTGGTGGTGAGCAAGAAATCGACATTTACGCTCGAAGACGCTCGCACAGCGCTTAGGATCATAAGCGACGAGGCGGCTGCCAGATGCCTCAACGATGAGACCAAACACGTGCGGCAGCTTCTCCTGACAACACGTGCGGCAGTGGCCCCTGCAGCCGACGCATTTCTTCAGGGGGTGCACGCGAACCTTGGACCGCCCGATTTTGGCGAGACGGGCGGTGTCGCCGTCATGAGGTGGGAACAACTTCAGCATTTGGTTCAAGAAGGGGGCCTCGGGCGGCACCTTATCACGTCCCGCTCTCGCCGAAGGGGTGGAAGTGGTGATCCCAACGCGCCGTCATTTGCACTACCTGCGTGGTTGGTCGAGGAGCGGGAGCGCGGCGTAGGCGCGGTGTTCGATCTCAACTCGCCTTTTGAGCCAGCTGGAGATCAGCCGGAGGCAATCAAGGCCCTTTGCCAAGGAATTGAGGAAGGAAAGCGGCATCAGACGCTCCTCGGCGCGACGGGCACGGTGCGGTCTTTAGCTGCTGCCGTGTCATATGTGCATCCCCGCGTCGCGAATCGTCCTCTGTCCTCTGTCTGTTTCTGCAAAAGATGCCTGCTGTTGACAATCGATTTTTCTACCGACCGTAGATGCAATCCCTCCTCTGTTTTGTCTGTTTTGTTGGGAATAGGAGTCACCCACTCTCCCAATCAATCCACCCCCACGTCCCTGTATTTACGTGTGCATGCGTTTTAAAACGCTGGTGTACTGGGTGGGAACAGGGGAAGACATTTATCATCGCTAACGTGATTCAGGAAGCTCGCCTCCCGACCCTGGTGCTTGCTCCGAACAAGGTCAGTCTCTCGTTCTTCAGATCCCAAGGGTGCAAATCACGTTGCCTTCTGTCAGCCTGTCAGTGTTTGGGATTCATCCACCCGAAAAATTGCACAGGAACCGCTGTTGCATTGTTCTTTGCTCGAGCCTGTTTTGACAATCCGGGACGTTCCGCGACGGACAGGTCCTGGCTTCGCAGCTCACGAACGAATTACGCGCATTGTTCCCCAACAATGCGGTGGAATTCTTTGTGAGCTACTACGACTACTACTTGCCAGAAGCGTTCAACTCTGCTTCAGACACTTACATCGACAAGGTACGGTGACTTGGGTTGGTTCACATTACGCAGGCCCCGGCCGCTACAAGCTGTTCAGCGCCAGCAACGCGTCTACCTGTTCAGCAGCGGACTTTCTTCGCAGCAGTCCTATGCGCTCGATGCTGCCACAAACAGCCGTCTTGTCTCTCTTTTCTGGTAGGATACAACGCGGTTGCCCAGTGTATTGTGAAAAAACGTAGGGTGGATACATCGATGGGGACCCTCCCTCCCTTTACAGCGTATATTACCTATTCGCCCCGACTCGAGCTGCGTTTTTGAGAATTGGTTTGCTTGTGTCTCGTTGTCACCGGTGCGGCCTCGTGACCGGGCTTGGTGGATCAAACAGGTTGTGCAGATCAACGACGACATCGATCGGATGCGCCATTCTGCCACACAATCCCTGCTGGAGAGGAGAGACGTCATCGTCGTGGCCTCAGTGAGTTAGCCCAACGTACACGTGCTAGATCTTGATGCGAAGAGCTCAGAGTGCACCGCTATACATTTGCGTCGCTTTTCCCCTTCGAGCAAGAGAAATTCATCCTGAGGCGGGACCGCAAACGCGTACACGCGCAAGGCCCGGCATTTGAGGATGTCATTCGATGAGTTTCGGCGCTAATCTGTCGGGGAAAAGTCGCATCGAGGCTCTAGCTTTCAACCAACGCTGGAGGTGTGCAGGGAAATACTTTGAATGTTCATCGTGTATGTGTTTTGTCAGTGTGACTGTACCACGAAGAAGCTGTGGTCGTTAATTTCTTTCTGCGTATGTCCAGGTGAGTTGCATATATGGGCTGGGTATGCCCAGCAAGTATCTGGAGGCGAGTATCCGGATTGTCGTGGGTCAGGAGTGGACTGGTGGCTGGAGGGCGCTAGCACAGCATCTCGAACAGGTGCGTGTGGTTCTTGTGGGTAGCCTCCCCAGCCCCCAACCAATCCTGTGTTTTGATTTCCTCTCAGGCTTCAGCTCTTCTTCACGGCACCGCCGGGTACCGGATATGCCTGAAGAAAGTGGGATTTTTTTCAGTCTGTATAATTTTGACAGAATGTCCGGCGTAGGGGCATATTCGTGGGTGTAGTTTAAACTTATACTTGTGCAGGTTACCGCACTTGCCGAAGATTCCGCGGTAGCGAAGCAATCTCGCGTGCTCCCGATACAGGTCCTTCTTGACTCATTCATGTAGCGTTCCTGATCTCCGACGCCCTTGCAGGGACTGTTCTACACCCCGAAGCACAACCAAGAAGACTTCGAGGCTCTCCCTCGTGGAAGCTTTCGTAGTGTTTCTGTGGAAGGCGGAGGAGGTGTCATCGAGATCGGTCCTGCTTCAGATGAAGCCGTCGTCCGTGTCACACTGGATGCGGCAGGTGTCGTGCGGAGAATACAGGTGGTGCCCATCGTCCGGGGGGGCGAGGCGAGAGCGGACAAGGAGAAGGAACCGCACCGTGACCTGTCGGACCTACTCACCGCTCCAGATCGTGGCCACCACAAGAGGGAACCGCATCATGACCTGTCAGACCTACTCACCGCTCAAGATCTTGGCCACGACAAGCCTCTGGTGGGCTCAGAACGAGCACTGGACGACGTAGACGCGCACGTGATCTACCCCGCCAAGCACCATGTGGTCGGGAGGGGAGAAATGGAAGACGTGATGTCCAAGATCTCGGAGGAGATGGAGGAGCGGTGCTCACAGCTGGGACTCGGCGGGAAGATCTTGGAAGCAGAGCGATTACGCCAGCGGACCGAAAACGACCTGTTGCTACTTGGCGCTGTCGGGACTTGCAAGGTGGAGGCCAATGATGCCCATATTCTATTTTAGAAACTCCCACGTTGCCCCATAGCTCTCCACCAACGCAACATGCCGTGTTGATTTGTTCCGTCAGGTGCCGGCCGATCATAGTCTGAACTTGGACGATTGAGGTGCCGTCGAGTACCTGAACACAGTGAAACCTTTTTCCAGCATAATTGCCACGCCTTTGGATGTCTCTAACAGGGTGTGGAGAACTACTCCCGTCATCTCGCTGGACGTGCACCAGGAGACCCACCAGAAACCCTGGTCGACTATTTCCCCGAGAACGAATGGCTTCTAATCGTGGATGAGAGCCACGTTTCCGCGCCACAGTTGGGCGCCATGTGGGGAGGAGATCAGGCGCGCAAGAAGAAGCTCGTGGAGCACGGGTTTCGACTTCCTTCGGCTTTGGACAACCGACCTTTGAAGGTAACCGTGGATTTCTTGCAGTCGAACACGAAGAACAAGAAAGACCCCCTCCTCCGTCCTCTCGATATTTCTTTGTCCAATCAGATCGCCTTCTCGTGAGCTTCAAGGCAATTTTAACGAGGTGGTGCCGTCAATAGCCGCGCGAACATGCAGTGATAAACGATGTTTCGTTTTCTTTGCTGCCGACGAATACCCCCAAATCCATCCCATTTGTCGTCGTTGTGGTTTCCGTAGTCTGATTGTAGCATCCCCCGTACCCGTATTGGTTGGTTGGTTTCACCCCCTGCCAAATCACGGAGGCATCTCTAGTCGGAGAAGGATACATAAATTCATAGTCAGAGGCCATATATCTGAGACGACCAACACATGACAAGCCTCCCCATTCTCCCCCCACGACCTTTTGTGAACCTGTGGCATGCGTCAAGGCCGACGAATTCTGGTCCAAAGTCGACAAGACCATCTTCGTCTCGGCCACTCCCGGGAAGTTCGAGCTGGAACTCGCCACTCTCGGGGCGGGTAAAAGCGGCGGAATGGGCTGGGACGAGATCGGAGATCTCGTAGATGCTCAGGCGGTCATTCGACCCACTGGCATCACGGATCCTCCGGTAGACATCCGGCCCTCGGAGGGACAAGTGTCGGATATGGTGCAAGAATGCAAGACAAGGGGGGGGCGTGGAGAGCGGGTGTTGGTGACTGCGCTGACCAAGCAAATGGCCGGTGAGGTTGAAATGAGAGGGGTGCCACCTGCAAAGTAAGAGAGAGTTCGGTATTTTATTTTGCGACCCTTGTAAAGCGTAGGCATCTGGGCGATGTAGCGTGGTGCGATGAACGCACGAGCTGACTGTTGTCGGGATTATGTAACACAGTTCTCCGTTGCGTTGTACTCCCGCGTAGACTTCATTTGCAATCGAGACGTAGTCATGGTTCACTCACGAATTTCGCCATCATGAAAAGCTCCGCGTGCCCCCTTGTCGTGTTCTCGTGCGTCTCTTTCTCCCCAAAAACTCAAATTGCGTCGTGTGGTGGAACCGTCTTATCAGAGGATCTGTCGGCCTTCTTGATGGAGCAAGGTGTGCCGACGGCCTATCTGCACTCCGGCGTCAAGCCCATGCAGCGTTTGGAGCTGCTTCGGCAGCTGAGGAGCGGCGAGATCGACGTGATCGTCGGCGTAAACTTGCTGAGGGAGGCACGTGTTTGAAGTAAATGCGTCGTTCTTGGAAGATTCCGCCTTAGGAAGAATAAGCCGTTTCCCGCGGCAAACGACCCTGATTAATTACTTCAGCCTGTGAGCGTCCCTTGTTGGTGAAACGACTTCTTTGCGTTGTGTACGAAGGTGTATCGGCATGGTGTGTTAAGCATTCTTATTCCATAGGTCTTGAAATATGGTTGATTAGTAGCGAGTCGATCAACCAACGAAGCAAATCCATAAAACGTCAGGTTTCCAAGATTCACGCCACTTACATTCTGCGTGCCCCACCCACCCCCTCCGGCCGTGGATGACTCAGGGCCTCAACCTTCCCGAAGTGTCCCTGGTGTGCATTCTGGATGCAGACGCCGAGGGCTTCCTTCGCTCGGACACGGCCTTGTTACAAACGATAGGACGAGCTACGAGGCATGAGGCAGGCAGGGCCGTCTTGTACGCCGATCGCATCACTCCTTCCATGAAGAGAGCTCTGGCTGAGACCGATCGGAGAAGAGAGATACAGACGAGGTGAGGGGTGGATTGGCGAACTCATTTCTCTTTTTTAGGAGTCCGTCAAAATGCGTGATGTATAGCATGGGGATGTGGAGAAAATGGCCCGTTCTGATTATTTTTTGGATGGATCGAACGTAATGCGTTTCGAAGAGAATGCCGGGGTAGTAAGAATAACTGGGTGCTTTTCGGGCATCTGCTCGGGTGTCCGCAATGTCACCCAAGGTATTCAAGCCCCCTATCACGAATAGGAGTGAGGTATTCCTTCTCAACAACAACACGTCAGTCGATCGTCTTCAGGCTAAAGCACAACTGCATACGGTTGTTCGCCCTCCCCTCCCTCCTTTCGAATTGTCGACGTTGGCCTCGCAGGCATAACAAGCTCCACGGAATCACGCCAAGCGTAGCCAAGGCAGCGTCTGTAGGCGACAGTATCTTGGACAGCATTAATGGCGATGCCGTTCACACGCAGCGGGAAGGAGAAGGCCGTGATAGTAGCAGCGACCACGTCGCATCCTGGGCGAATCACTCTCTGCTCCCAGATCAGGTGAAGTTCGGCCAATTTCCAACCACGGATTGCACACGCACGTCGGAGTATGTCGCTTTCGATCCTTTGGCAGTGCAACGGCGTGTTTTTCGTGGGGTAACCGTTGTGCTCGAGAGGTACTCACGAGAACAAGACTGAGGGCCCTTCTGGGGCGTAGCAGGCTGGTGTGCGCCTGCACACACACCTAAACGGGAAGAGTGCCTGCCTCACTTCACCCATTCTCGTGCATGCAGGTTCAGCTGCTGTACGATTTAGCGGCCCAAAACGGCAAGGGTTCAGCACACCAACAAAAGACTCTGCTCACACCAAGCGAAGGCACGACACATGCTCTGATGCGTCTGGCAGAGCAAGCTTCCACGAAGATGTCCTTAGCGGCGACTAAGACGGACTTCAAGGAGGCAGCTCTATGGCGAGACCGTAGAGACGCTTTGCTATCCACCCTTTCGACTATTGGAACCTATCAGCAGTAAACTAGCGCGCTAAATAGCCTCCATGTGAATATTTTTGGGTCTGAAACGTTTTCAATAGTGTGAGGTGACGTCCCGATGGCGGTAGTTGGTTGTAGGTGTACTGGAATGAACAACATCCTTAGCGACTTGCTTTCACGAGTGTAATCAAGCGATCAATGGTGACCGACCGTGGCTGTGACCGTGACTGTGGATGGGAGGAACAGGTGGGAGCAGCGAAGATCAGTGTGGATACTCGACTTCAGTCCCAACCGCCTTGTTTGCGCGAGAGTACACCTCGTTTTTCTGTTGCTGTGCATGGTAACCGACATCAATCGTTAGGCCTTGGTGCCGCAGTGGCTGAACGCCTGGTCTTATGGCCAAGTCGACACGATTGTAAAAGCTTGGCCTCGAGATACGTATCCGACACGAAAAAACAGGCAGCAGAAGTTGGCGGGTCATTGAATGCCTCTTGCATTAAAACGGCTAAAGGTCTCTCTCTCTTGCGACCTTCCACCGAAGGCGAACTTGTCCAAAACCTTACACTCACCCAGGTTCTCTACTCTCGCAGCGGGGATAATGAAAAACTGGGGGGGGGATCAGCGAGGCGGTGCTCCCATCTTCATCAACCTGCCAACGTGTGCGTCCAGTTCGGTCGTATTCTGTGTTGTGTGTCACAGAGTAGAAACCAAACGCTTTCGTTCGAGATGTGACGGGTTTACAACGCGTTCCGAGGTGGCTGCAAACGCTGCGTGGTAGTTGCGCATTGGATCACATCTGACATCTGACCATCTGTCCAATATGGAGCTGATCCGCTGCCACCGAGGTTGCCCCCCGAAGCACGAAGTAGTGTCCAATCCCGGAACAGGAAGAGGTTGTGGCCAAGATCTTACGCCATTCGACAATAAGTGATGCTGCAAGGACAGAGTAGGTTGGGATGGTGAGGGAGAGAGAAGAACGAGACGGTCACCCTGCCACACACAGCGTGGTTCACACATGTGTCGGTCTCGTTGCTCGTTGTTCGGAGAAGGCTGCCCAGGGGCAGCAGTTTTTGGGTACGCATGCACAGCGCATCTGCGAGCCCCCCTCGTTTGATATGTCCTGGTCTCAGCCGAACCTGTCTCGCCGTACCCATAGCAGCAGGGAGTGGTGATGGAAGAGTTCCTCGCTGCCGCCAAGGGCGGAGTGACATCGATATCTGGAGATCAGTGGGTAGCCATCCTGCGACGCTTCTCAACCGCTCACGAAGGTAGGTTCATCGTTGGATCCGATGGGTGTTCCTGCGAGTGCTCTCTCTCGACAGAACAACATGTGCAACACTACTGCTGTACTGCACACCGGCATCAACGCACCAGAGTCTACAGCGCACTCAGCCTCGGACATTGCGAGTGGCGAGTGGACCGAAGAATAAGGTTATTGCCGTGAATAGGCGATGTGTTAAACTTTTGGTTTGCCGCTGTATCCTGGCCGAAATTGCTGTGTCTTCTTTGTCCATTCAGCGACCTGGGCGGTGAGTCCTGTCTGTGGGCTCGACAACAAGCGGATTCTTGTGCGAGTGGTGGTGGAGCTTCTCCACCATACCGTTGGGTTGAATGGGAGACACAGGAGCCGGACTCTTGGTCCGGGAGGTGAGGTCTCGGCAGTTGCACCCTGCTGCCCGATTAGGTAAAATAGTGGTGCGGACCGTTCTCGAGCACGAGCGTGTCGGTGCATCCGGCGGGGCGCCAACAGCTGTAGAATATTTGACTACAAGCAGTCTAGCCACGTGCACGCTTATGTGGAAAAGCGTGTGGATGGAACGTTGATTCCAATTGCGCCATATGCCGTCGTAAGTTCCTGGACCATTGTATGAATGTTGGTACTCCAGACGATGCGTGGTGTCTACCGTGCGTTGCGTAAGATACCACCCCCCCCGGCCAATCAAAGCTCGAGTACTCTTCAGCTCTGCAGCGAAAACAATCGCGGTGCCGACAATGGCGGCTTTGGAACCATCTTGTCGAGAGCTTTTCGTCCTCTTCGTCATGGAGTAATGGAGCTGTGCAAATCGATCCAAGGGGTATGGTATCTCATGCAGCAACCTACGGTATTTGTATGGGCAACCAACTTGTATTGCATAGCAATGCACAGCTACAAAAGTGTATGCTGATCCGATACGGCAGAGCCAACGCGCAACTGTATAAAGAGCCGACACCGGCTACTGGATGGGTGCTGTTGTTGCTCAAACTAACCATTAATGTAGACACGATGGGTGCTCTTCCCCTCTGAATATGTCACTGACGTATGCGTATCCAGCACGAAATAGTACCAGACATTCATGCCGCGCCTCCTTGTCTTCGTCCCTGGTTTTTGAGGACTTGTATGCAATGCCGGCTTATCCCATTCTTCTAGAGGAATACAGTCATCGAACAAACCGCAGTGGCTCACCCCTTCTTCTATGGCAGTGTATACATACCCATACCAACCTTCGCCTGCACGGAATCGCTTTGTTGTCGTTTGCTGTGCTTGTTACTTTATACTGCTGCTGGATGTTGGCAGTGGAGGCTGAGGCACTGTTGGCGGCTCGGATACTGCTGAGAGAGAGGGAGGGAGCTGAGAGGCTCATGGACCAGGAGGTTTGTTGAGAGGCAGTTGTTCCCTACCCTTACATAGCAAAGAGTTTATTTAGCAAAGCGTTTCTTGCAGTATCTCAAATGATGTTGTGTCGGGAGGTAGTTGAGAGTTCGGAGGGATGTAGGCCAGGTTCGCCATAACTGTTTGCGCTGCGGCACAGTAGTATTATGCAGAAATTCGTAGTAAACGGCGACCGTGTCGTGTGTGTTGATGCAATACTCTTAAGCGGTTTAGAGCCAACCATTGCGTGTATGATAGACACAAGTATGAGGCTCGTTCAGCCGGCGCAGCGCGGCATCCAAGGGCGAGGCGATGACCGAAAAAGAGGGAAAAGGAGTAAGAATAATGGTAGGAGCTGTGAGATAGTTTGCGCGTCTTGCTTGAGCGCGGGGGACTTAGTTCTCCGCGGTTCGAGCCCAGCACGCGTAATGTACTGCGCCGGCTGCTACATCTACCTAGTGTTTTCAACATGGTGGCACTGGCATCCACATGACCCAGTGCCAACGAGTCAAGCGTTGCTATTCCCAAGCCGCTATCCGCGCGCGTACTCGTCGCTATTTTCCTCCAGGCTCTGGAGACTTACACCAAGGCTGCACAGGAGGATGGCGACGCGGCATGTGGGTTCCGCGTGAGCTTAATGGCCCTGAAGTGCCTGAACAATGCCGTGTGGGACCAGCCGAAGGGGCAGATCTCCTTCGTGCAGCTGGGGGGACTGGACATGCTGGTCGGTCTGCTGCAGGTGAAGCAGTACAGTAGAGGGCGCCTGAGGCTTTACAACATGATTGCCTGCTGCCTGTCGTACGAGACACGGTTCGTTTCAAGCGGTTGGTCTGGATGCGAAGCTTCTTGAGCAGTGCTACAATGTTTCCAACATGAGAATTCGAAACGTGCCTAGCCATACACTTGTTCTTCAACAGATGATTGTGTTTTCCCTCTTTTTCTTGACGAACACACCCGCGTTGTTTCTTGAGCCCCCTACACACTTTCTTGGCTCGGAGGTCGTCCAGGACTAGAAGCACCGCCGCAAGAGTTGCGTCTGCACAGGACTGCAGTGCAAGCCTTGATTTTCCCGCTCATGCTCCGCAGAAGATGGCTTGAAGGCTGTGTGCACGTGAATCGTGTTTCGATTGCTCAAAACACGTGACGTTCCCTTGGTCTTGTCCGCACGCACATGATTTGCATTGCTGTAAACGCAGGCCTCTCGACCAGCGTCCGTGCTGTACTTCGCGTGCCGCATCTTCAACGTCGTCGGTTCCTCCAACCCCACCGCCTTCAACGAGCTCAAGAAGAAGCAAGACTTGCTGCTGCTGCTGCTCTCGGTGGGTCCTCCGCATCGTTGCCTGTTGTACATGTAAGGGGTCGTGGTGGTGGTACGGTTCGGCGATATGGCGTGTCGTGTCTCTTGAATAGAAACAATTCTGTACCGTGCTTTTTCCCTGATGGAATTTTCGTCTCCGCGTATGCCTCGGCGGTTCCTCCAACTTTTGCAAGAGACCTATACTGCTGGTATCTGGAAAGCTGCTGCTCGCCCCGAACGTGTTGTAGGTCCTAGCTGGCTGCGTTCGGTGCACGCATCCGCCATTTCCGGGAGGCGAGGACCGTGTCAAGCTCATGGTGCAAGCGCTGCAGGGCCTCTTTCTTCTGGGCGTCCGATTCACACAAGAGGTGACTCTTAAGTATTGTGTTGTGCTTCTTCTTCTTCTTGCTGTTGTTGGTGTTGCTGTTGTCCATATTGCTGTTGTTCTGTGGTCACTCTCGTACCGGTGGAGAAGTGTGCGGGTGCATAACTCGCGTTGCTGCTGGCTCTTGTCGCACTCTTGTTCTGTTTGATGTACACCGTACACAACTTCGGTACACGGGGTGACGGACTGGCCCCGACAGGAGAAGAAAAAAGCTTTGGAAGGGGACACCATGAAGCGGTGAGTGTGGTAATCGAACAGTCGGTGTAGCTGAACATGACCTGATTTGCGACCCACATTTGCCTCTCATGGGCAGCAGGTTACTTTGTACAAAGCTTCTTTTTTTTCACGTTGAACTGGAGCGGAGCAGAGCAATCTGATCACACAACGTCCGTGCTGTGCACACTCACCCCTGCCTCGCCAAGCTGCTAAAGCGACGTGAATTCACACAGAACATGCCGCAGCTTTGTGAGGCATACAGTAGGAATCTCGACAGTGCTACCCCTGAGAAACACTCCCGATACCGTTACAGCACACTGCTGCAGTACAGCAGTGCGAACGGAACGAAAAGTTGATGCCCTTTGTGTCACTCAAGCTGTGGTCGGTAGTTTGTTTGTTTAGTGTACCCCTAGAGCAGCTGAAACTCTTCCTTAAATCCCAAATCCTCGAGTCTACTTTTGCCTAACCCCCTCCCTTGATTTCCGTGTTTGGCGGGGTGTGGTCTCCGTGCTCAGGCTCGGGTACGTGTTGGTGGACATCTTGCATTTGGACCACGCAGAGATCGACGTCTTCATGGCCAAGCTGCAAGTAAGCGACGGTCTTGAGCGGCGTGCCACGAAACCTTTCATTCTGGCGCCAGCGCACTACGCCTTCTGCGCACACACCCAGGACAAAGAGAAACGAAAAGGAAGGAAACATGTACATTTAAAGAAAGGGCGGCTGATGCTCGCACACCCGCTCTTTCGATCGCTAGCTGTTTTCCCTTGAACCGCACGCGAAACAAGACAAGACAAGACAAGACAAGACGAGAGCCGTGCACTCACTTGCGTTCCTTGTTCAATTACTTCTTCGGCTTGATCTGGACAATGCTCGTATCGGCATACACGTACCACATGCAGCGCAGGCGGCAGCAGGGGTGAAGCCAAAGAGGGGGGGGGAGGCACAGAACCGCAATAAGTCTTTGGTGTTCTCGTTCTGTGGGCCATATCCCCTGGCGCGAACACTACAGTGGGTGCCACAGGGGAAGGTCACAATGTCTCGAAGGCGAGACACTCCATCCTCTGTACGACGTGATTTTTATTCTTGTTCCATGTTTGGTATTTGCAGGTGCTGAACTTGCTGCTAGACATGCCTGGTGGCTTTGCGGAGGTGCTGCTTGAGCACGGCTGTCTCCCTCGAGTTGTTCAGCTCGTGGAGCTACAGCTTGTGCGACAAGAGTTCCAGGATGGGTGAGTAGTAAAAGACTATGGTAGATACCGGTAGATTTTACCATATCCGTCCAACCCGACGTAGACCCGACTCGAATGGAGCACCTGACGACTTGCTGGCGGGCCATATTGAATACGCTGTCTCGACTCTCTCTCTTGTGCTTGCTTCGTCTCAAGGACCGACATATTCTGACCCATGGTGCTAGCAAACACGAGCCAGAACTAAATTTTCGCCCATTTTTTTCCCCACCTCTTTGCCTCGTGTCGTAACCGGCACTCGTTCCTCGACAGCGGTGTCGACGCAGCCGCTGAGCTAACCCCTGGGCTGCTGGTGTTGAATAAGATGGTGCTGGCATCGGAGGAGTCCAAGATGGCCGTGAAGAGAGCGATATTTCCCCCCGAGGCTGATGAGGTGGGAGATGACCAATAGGGAGGAACGTTTGGGTACACCTGGCTGGAGTCGGGCGCAACGCAGGAGAGGACTCCTGTACCCCCCCGTTTATGCGATTGCTGACCCCGAAGCTCGCTTGAAACACCAAACCCGCATGGTTCAATTTGTGTGCTTTGGTTGCAGACGCTTTTTGCCCACAGCAAATAGTGTGATGAGGTCTTGAACCTCAATATACGGACTTTGGGAACATAAGCAATCATCACCAACCACCGCTCAATTGCGCCTTTGCGAGTGATCCAGCGACAGCATGTCGCACCGTGACAACAAGGCCACATGATACTGTCTCGTTTTCATGCTGCATCGACATCCCATGGTGTCATATAGCCTCACAAGGTACACACAAGTGGGTTTACCACTCCACCAGGGCATGAAATTTTGCTGAGACTCGAGATGCCATGTCTCAGCGTACCGAAGGTTCTTATCATCAGTACCCTATCCGCACGCTTTTGTGAACATCCCGCCTCTCTTTATCCGCGCTCCTTGCTCTGGTAGGTGTGGAAGCAGAGGCTGGAGCGAGAGAAGAGAGAGCTCGCATCTCTAACAGGCGATAACTACAAGAGAGCCGAAAAAATCAGCAAGGACAAGAGGGTTCACCCCGTGGACGCGCCGAAGGGGACGCTTAGAGCCAGGTTCCTGAAGCAGATGACGGCAACAGAGTCCTCCTCGAAAACGGCAGTGTCCGATCTGCTGTTCAATCTCTGCGTAGACGAAGGTGCGGCGAGTGTATGCCGTGGTGAATGGGATTTAATGCAGCGGAAAACGCCACCCTCCTCTTGTTGGTAGGTTTCGCCACAACGAAGGCAGAGCTCGTGGCCAGTCTCTTGTGATAGGGGTTGCGCAAGATTGTTCGTGCTCTGTACGAGATACTCACTTGCCCCGTGCTCGCCTCGTCTCGTTATCCTTGCGCAGAAGAGTTCACCACAAGGTGCGGCTTTGGGAACGCCGTCAACACCCTTAGGCTCCGAGGGATGATCTCGGTGCCTGGCATAGGATGAGTTGATGCCAAGGGACTTTCAAAACGTCTGTTGGATTGCAGAGGACGTGTTGTAGCGAGAAGTCACGGGCGTCTCTTGCCGCATTTGCAAGCAGCGTGACCATGCAGTCGGTGATATTGTATCTAACTTGCGCGCTGTCATCTGTAACTTCTAGTAGTTTTAACGTTTTAACAAGTAGATGCATGCTTGTACTTGGTTGAAGTAAATCAAGAGTGGGACCGACACACCACGAACGTTTGTGTCTTGCATAGTGGTTTCACGAGTTGGTAGACTATGTAGACTATTACTGTAAAAGCATTCCGTGGTAGTCTTTTTAACCAAGATCTGATTGGACCACCGAGGGGGACAACACACGAGGAAACAAGCGAAGAGTCCGAAATGGACTGCGTTCCAAACTGGGCGTGGGGGTTGACAGACTGTCCACTGCTGTAGATGCCTATTGTACGAAGAAGAGAGCAGCGGTAGTGCTTCGACTAAAAAGAAGACATAATTAGTAGGTTTGTCCACTTCCTTTCTTTGCACCGATCTTTCAGCATGACGGTTTTTATGTGGCATAGTACTGCGTTAATTTACAAGAAGCTGGGGAGGCGCTGCCAAAACACCAATATGTGGCAGCCAAAACCGGCCCTCCGAGATGCCTTACAATGTAGGGTGATTTGCGGACATTTGATCGGGACACCGTATGCATATCACGATATGAAAGAGATCGGGTTCAGGTTCTGGTGTTTCATGGGGAGGGAGGAATGGTTGTCTACAGTTGGTTGAGTACATAAAAGGGGCTCTGTGAATGGTGTACCAAACACCTTCGTTCTCTCTGCCCCTCATATTCTGTCAGCAGCGTGCGCGGGTACAATGCGGGTTGTGGGTGCTTTAGCACAAAGAGAGTGCAAGAAACGACCTCTCTGCACCCGACGCCCCGCCAGCACAACACCAACCACACAAGATTTTGGATTTGCACCAGGGTCACACCCACCACAAGTTTTTTTTCTGCTGGATCAGATTTGGACGTGTATATACGAGTTCCAACACATCTGCGTGCCCCCCGCGATGTGAGGCGCCTGGAGCTTGCTCCTTGGCTTGGAGAAGAGCTCGTGTTGCTCCTGTCATTGCGCTTCAGGCTTCTCTACCTTCCTCGAGAGAGAGGAAACGTTTTCGGCGCTTTCGGGGTTGGCCGTGACGCATCGATCACCAGGTTTGTGCTGGTCGAAAGCTAGGAACACTTGGTTTGCCTCCAAGTGTCGGACAAGGGCGATGCTTGCACTGCTGATGAAGAAGGCTCCCCCTAGTCGGCGTTGCCTAGGTTGAGCTGCTGCTTGATCCCACTGCTGTTAGGGGCAGCGGGATTCCGTTGCTCCATCGTTGCAATGACCGTCGCACGGCATCATCTGCTGCCGCTATCTCTCTCTCTCTCTCTCTCTCTCTCTCTCTCTCTCTCTCTCTCTCTCTCTCTCTCTCTCTCTCTCTCGCTTTAGCCCGACCCCCCATCACCAGACCGCAGGGCAGACAAACAGCAGCGGCCCTCGTCGCTCCTCACACTCCCTGCTGTTCCGCACCGCATCCCACCACCACCAGCAGCAGCAGCCCGATGGCGGCACAAGTGGTAGTACCGCCCGTGCAGGGCAAGGCAGAGATGGCTCTGGACGCGGCCCGCGTGTACGCGGAGGAGGAGGCCAAGCGGAAGAGGCTGGAGTGCCGCTTCTACGAGGCGCAGTACCCCGAGATCGAGGAGGTGGTGATGGTCAATGTGCGCAACATCGCGGAGATGGGGGCGTACGTGGTGTTGCTCGAGTACAACGACATCGAGGGGATGATTCTCCTGTCGGAGCTGTCTCGCCGGCGTATCCGGTCGATCAACAAGCTCATCCGGGTTAACCGAAACGAGGTGGCCATGGTGCTGCGTGTCGACAAAGAGAAGGTACATACTACTGGTAGAAATTTACTACAACAGCAGTTACGGGGCGTTTTGATTTGAACCAACAGGAACGACAGAGGAACGACATTATTACCTGTTGCGCGTAACTACAGGCAGCTTCTGCGCATCGGTAGTCTTTGCCTATGCCTAGAGGGGCAAACAGAGAACAAGGGCATGGGAGATCCCGCTGGTGCTGGTCCGCGTTGGTTCTTCTTGCCCTACGCTGGCTTCCCACACAACGTCGTATTCGGAGGCATGTGTACCTACAGGAGAGCAGGCTCACCGAAGCCATCCCCATCTACTGTAAGGGATACGCATACTTTATCGCGCTCAAGCCGTGCTTGTTGCAGCGGTACAGGGTGCTTTCCTTTCCGTTCCGTGTGCCCGTGTTCAAAATCGCTGCTAGAGAAATCCCTACAGCCGCCAGCGCAAACGCCAATGGGCGATGATCAAGTCGTAGTCGTTTCTTACGAGTGACATATTGAAGGTGATCGGTAGACTCATCAGGGCAGCTGTATACCGGATGTGACATTCGGCTCGTCTCATCAGTATTGTACCATTATGGTCAAAATGTGTGTTACACCATCCTCGGTATTGAGTGGGACGAGGCGTACAATAGAAACTACGCCAGAGTATAATGCATGTGGCAAACAAAAGCCGGTACCAGTATAAGGGAGCTGGGGCAGACTCGGGAATCACATGTTCACATATATGGCACGGAGGCTCGTGGAATCACCCGCCTCACGCACTTCGGTGGCGGCGTCTGTTGTATGTCTGAACATTCGCCTTAAGCTTTGTCCATTGATTCCAGGAAACCTGAAATCACGAAGGCAGACAAATGCCCGAGGAGAATCAGTCTACCACCTATCTTTGACCCCGCCGTACCACCCTCGCCTAACTACTCTTTGAAGAGTGCTCTGCCGCTGCGTCTTTCATGGGGTGTGGTTGCAACTGAATGTGTTCTCTCGCTTTGTGGTCATTCCGCGACGCTCAGGGTTACATCGACTTGTCGAAGCGGAGGGTGAGCCCGGAGGACGTGGCGAAGTGCGAGGACCGATACAACAAGGCGAAGGCGGTGCACAGCGTGCTGCGCCACGTCGCCGACCTGAGGGGCCTCGTGCTCGAGGACCTCAGCACGAAGGTCTCCTGGCCGCTGTACAAGAAGTACGGGCACGCCTTCGACGCGTTCAAGCTCACGCTGCAGGACGAAGAGGACGTGTTCGTGGGGCTGGACATCGACGAGGAGACCAAGCAGGCGATGATCACGCACATCAAGCGCCGGTTGGCACCGCAGCCGAGCAAGGTGGGTTTTGTGTTTCCGCTGGGTTTTACGTTTTTCGCCACTCGTTTGTCGAGTCTGCGCAGCGTTCGACTTTGCGGCACACGCTGTACCTGCCGTTGTTCCGTCCAAGCGGTATTTGGTGGCTGAGCATTTGGTGCTGCTGTAAGATGGCACATCAGACGAAATTATCTTAAGGTTGGTTGTGTGTCACCACCACCGTCACACAATCACGAACACAGGTGCGCGCGGACATCGAGGTCACGTGCTACACGTACGAGGGGATCGACGCCGTGAAGGCGGCGTTGATTGCAGGGAAGGCCGTGGGGGACGAGAGGACGCCCATCCAGATCAAGCTCATCGCTCCCCCGCGGTACGTGATGGACACCATGACGCTGGACAAGGACCTGGGGAAGTCGGTGCTGGAGAAGGCGATCGAGGTGGTGACCGAAAAGATCATCGAGTCGGGGGGGAAGCTCGAGGTGAGCGAGTGGCGGAGTCGGTTGTCGGGGATCGGTTTTGTGTGTATGCTGGTTGTTCTTTGTTGAATTTTTATATCTAGAGTGAGGCTGCTGCTGCCGTATGCCAGTCTTGGACACTTGAGGAGGCATTTCTTCTCGGTCGAGATCCCTCTAGTTTTCAGGGTATGATGGTGCGTAAGAAGCAAATCGTTTCTTGGGTCGTCATACAGTGGAGAAGAAACCTACTCGCTCGTGTTTTTCATTGTGTGGAGCCTCTTGTGCTTTTGGTGTTGGTCTTGTGTTTTGCGTTTCTCCCCGAGTGTTGAGACTGATCTGACATTCTTGCTCTTGATTTGTCAGTCTTGATCTCACATGCGACCATGGAAGGAAGTGCATGGGTGTTCCTTGAAAGGGTAAAAGAGGTGTTGGATACAAGCCAACGACTTTGGTGTTTGAAGATAACAACAACAACCGATCTTTGACAACCGGTCAAGTCGTGTTTTCAGCACGTATCTAACAGCCCGCTGCCTCGAAGGACCAAGGTGCCTCCTAGAGCGCATTCAGCCGCGTTGTGCAGCCTCTCGTTTACACCCGTGAGCTCTGGCAGTAACAAACGTACTCTGTTCATCACATGCGTCCTTTGGGTGGCGTGGAGGAAAGCTTGGCCGGTGTGCACAATTTCCAGCCAAGCGCAGCTGACGTGGCGATGAGCGACCTCTCGTCTCTTGCCATACTATTGGAAACGCGCCTATGCATCGAAGAGCGTTGTTGTTATGCTGGCCAAAAGTGATTACACATCTCACTTCCCCCCTCTGCTTGGTTTCGTCCGGTACCCCTAAACGTGACATGACACGTGGCAGGTTAAGATGGCGCCAAAGGCGGTGAGCCAAAGGGAAGAGTCCGAGTTGCAGGCCATGCTGGAGCGCTTGGCACTCGAGAACGAAGAAATAGATGGGGACGCCCCCGAAGATGTTTGATTTGGTCACTCACGCCTTGCATTTCTCGTTGCGCTGATTCAGGGGGGGGGGGGGGGGGGGGGGG